ATAATCGCATAACAAAAATCTTCATACAACAGAAACTTATACCAAGACTAAGGAATGACTTACATCATTTCAAGAATCAAAATATTTTGAATGCGCAGAGGAAGGGTTGAAGTTAAACGAGTATGAAATAAATGAGCTGTAAAGCGATGAAAACAAAACCATTAAAATTGTCAATTGCCTAATCTTTCTGAAATTCACATTTAGATTCTGTTTTTGTTAAAAACTACGATAGAAATAACAACAAGATGGATCATCTTATTTAAATATTTCACTACTGGAATAGTAATTTAGAAATGGTGGATGAAAAATTATATTTAATATTCGTCCACTAAGATAGAAGATAACAACAAGATGAATCGCCTTATTTAAATGTTTCACTACTAGAGCAGTACATTTAGAAATGCTGGATGATTTATCATCAGAAAGTTTCCTAAATGTGCTTAGAAGATTTGTATTTGTAGCTTAACATTATTATCCAGAGTTGATTTTAAGTGTTAACATCAATGAAAATTTTAATCGGATCTTATTTAGTTAGAACAGGAATAAATGGAAAAACATAATTTCAAAACTCCCTAAAGTGAAGGAATTTATGGGAGAATAATTAGTGTAATTAAAAAAAACTTTAACAAAGTCGTAGGTAGAAAATTACTATAAAAGAAAAAGATTTGATAACTTTAGTTATGGAAGTAGAAAGTGTACTTAATACTTGCCCACTAATTTATATAAACTCCGATAATTCTACAATTCTAAGATCAATCAATTTTATCTCACCAAATGCCTTCGCAATGATATCAATTGATAATGATATTAATCAATATGAGTATATATACACCATACAATTTAAATACTCAAGATAAACTTATCAAATATCCATAAAGTATAATAGAAAATCTTGATATAAGAGGTGGGTATTTAATTAGTTCCCGATAGCATATGCAATTAGAAAATAAATGCGCTTGAAATGTTCAAAGCGAAAAATTCCTTCTAAAAAGGAAACGATATTGGTTAATAAATTGGAAGTTTCATGTGGTATTTAAAAAATAGCAGATATAATGAAATTTGACAGAAGTTAAAATGGGGAAAATAAGAAATGACTCGATAGAAGAAGCTTCTAAATTGTCCTTCTAAAATTGAAAGCTTCTAAATTGACTTAGAGATATTTTAGTCCGATGAACTAAAAGAGCTATAAGATAACATGACATATTTCAAGAAAAATGAAAAACAACAAACGAAGGCTTTTTAAATCGACAAATCCCAAATAATCCTATAATTCAAAATATTTAAATAAACAATTTATATTCTTGTTGTTTGTTGTCTATTTTATAGAAATTAATTATCCACACGGATTAACAGTTAAAAAAAAAAAGATTAGTCAAGTGATCGAATCAAATGATGATATTTTCTGATAATAAGGTATTATCAGATCAAGTCATATTTTCTGATAATAAGGTATTATCAGGTATTATAATATTAAAAAGAATAAAACTCTCAATCAAAAATTATGCTATCAAATCAAAACTTTCCTAAATAAAATAAAACTCTGAAAAATCTATCAAATTATTTTTGAAATTATTCTAATAAAAATTTAATAATTTTTTGAAAGAAAAATTCAATCATAAAATTTATGCATAATACTTATTTCCTTATTAGAAATACTTAATTGCAAAATTTATATATTATATTCATATAGCTCTATTAGAAACAGTTAATTATAAAATTTATATGTTATATTTATATAATTCTATTAGAAACAGTTAATTATAAAATTCATATATTCATATAGCTCTATTAGAAACAGTTAATTATAAAATTTATATATTATATTCATATAGCTCTAATAATATAAGGCTTATTTTCTGCATGAATAGATAAGTTTAAAAAAAAAAATATGGAAAAATAAATCAATCAATTTCCGTGCATATATTTCTAATATATAAATAATTACATTTAATTGTTTATAATACTAGAAAAGAAATGTTATTTGCAACAAAAATCAATGATTATTTTTATATAAATAATTACTTTGATATGTTTGTGATACTAAAAATAAATGTTATTTTCATCACTTTGACGTGACGCAAATGCAAATGCAAAAACAACATTTCATTTTAGTATTATAAACATATGTAGGAGTGATCATTGCTAAATTTTCATATATTAAAATTGTTGTATTTAAAAGTAATATTGACATAATTATATTTTAGCGAAGAATGGACAATTGTTCATTTAGTAATAGGATATATTTCAATTAGTTTTAGTTTCATCTACGTTATCCTCTTTCCACAACAAAATTACACTGATGAAATTTATCAAATTTTCCTCTTTTATCTTTTATTCAAATTTTCTTTTATCTTTTATTCAAATTTAATCATTACAGAAATGTAAACAAAAAAAGTTTTAATTTATTTGTTATAAATTAGTGAAATATATTTATATATATGTATAATATATAATTTAATTTATTGTTATAAATTAGTGAAATGTATATGTGTGTATAAAATATAAAAGAATTTCTTAAACACAACATTTAATATATACACATTAATTTACTATTGCGTGAAATTTTTTGTATAAAATTACATATGTATGTATAAATATAATTGTTTTAAACCAAATGATTAAATTTAAAATATATGTTTTATGTACGAAATTATATATGTATATATAATTATTAAGAATGATTTAAAATATGTTAAAATATTTTAAATTTTAATGAACTGTCAAATATTTTAGAATATATCAAATAAACTTTTCTGATAACGGATAAGAAAGAATTTTTCAGAAAATTAAATCGACAAATTTTTTCACATTTTGCAACGCCAAAATTATTTTGAATTTTTCATTTAATTAAAAATAATTAAATGCAATGCAAATTATTATATATAGTTTATGATATAGTTAAAACATTTGTTTTTTATTTATTACAGTAGATAGAATAAGAAATAAACCATGCAAAACAAATAAAGCAAATAATTAAGTGTATGAATAAATTAATTTTTAGAAAACTATTTAAACATGACAAAAATTTTTGCATACCATAAAATATTATCATCTATAGCATTTTAAATCTTTTTGGAAAATTATTTTATACTATAAAATATTATCATAGAGCATTTTGTATTACTAAATTTTTTTGTATTGAGCTAAATTTGTTATTTATAGCTGATATTTCAGCGCTGATTAAAATTAGACAATCAATTGTATCGATGAATTTAATTGTATTTAAAGTGGCAAAAGTATTAGTCATAAAATATTAATTGATATAATATTTTATGATACTTTTAAATGACAATTAACTTGAAATAATTAAATAAATGAGTACAAATGTGTATGCTAAAGTTTTATAATTAATGAATGCGTCATTCATTAATTCTTACATTAATTTTTATAAGAGGAAATTCATTAATTTTTTGGAAAAATATTCAAAACAAGAGTGTAAAGATTATTTCTAACAGTATAAAGATTATGTGTAATTAATTCTACATCGAGTTTATTATTACTACATCTATCCTGATAATTTTAATTATTTCATGCAATCAACATTTACCTCTAAATCTATCAATCTAATTAACTAAATCTAATTAACCAACATGAATATTTCATTAATTAACCAACGTGAATATTTCATTATTTTTATAACTGAATCATAATTTTAATGAAAATTTCAATTAATTATTTCAGGCTTCACTTCAATATTTATAGTTACACTTGACATCATAAAATTCTTGGCAAATTTTTAATGAAGGCCCTAAAATATTATAATTCGCTGTTAAAAAAATAAGAAAGAAATTTGACCAGTTTGATTAAAATATGATTAAAAAGTAAAAAAAATTTAATTAAGAAATCCCTAATTAAATAAATTATTAAATTCCTGATACATTGGAATACTGTAATTTCTCCTAAATTATAATAAAACTGGTTAACGGATTCCTAAATACTAATAATTCTGAATTGAGCCATATCATGTAAATACTAATTAATGATTTACATAAATGCAAATTTTTTGGATGCATAAAAATTATCATAAAATTACGAAGTTTTCCATTTCTCAAGAAATTTACTAAATTTTACAACTTTTGAGCGGTCTGTATCTCTGAGGTTTTGAATTCCGCGGATTATACATTGAATGCGGTACGTCTTGATAGAAATATTATTATTGGGTGAAAATTATAACAATTAGTAGTTCGATTAAAATCTTTAATTAGTGAATGTTTTTCTTTGATTAAATATTAGGATTAATTACTGAAGGAGTGGTAATAAGTTTAATAAAATTTTATAAAATCTCAAATAATTTTCTTAATTAATTTTCTTTTTTCTTTTAACATAAATCCTGCAAGTACTTATTCTGAGGCATTATTATTGCAGTGTAATTTAGTAAAATTCAACTGATTGAAAATTAAATTTCACTCCTCAAAAAATTTCTACAAGTAATATGCATTTATTATTATCCATAAAAATATATCACAACTGCAAATACTAATATTTGCTACCTAAATGGCAAATTCTCGAGAGGATATATAATTTTGAATGGATCTATTGGTCCATTCAAAAATTATATATTTGATCAAAATTGTTTCAAATATAAGCACGTAGATATTTCTGCTCAACTTGTTTATACTTTTTAAAAAAACCTGAAAACTTTCAAAAATCCTAAAATTAATTTCATATTTAAAACAAGCAAGGATGCCGTTTTTTTTTTTTGAAATCTTCAATCCATTCCTTAAAATTATAAATAATAAATTAGGATAAAGTAAAAATTAAATGGATAATATTCAAAATAACCATTCCTTTTTGATGAAGCAATTTCAAATGAAAACAAAAACGAACGAATTATTTATTCATTATGCGATAATTTTAGGTCAATTAGAAGAGTATATCGAAAATTTCTTCAAGAATGCTTTACTATGCTTAACCATAATTGTTATCATTTTTTAATCATTAAAAGATATTGTTTTTTTTCAATTTCAAAAAATGGCGAATAATTTTTAGCAAGCAAAAAAATGGTATGCTATAAGTTAACACAAGAAATTATTGAAAAACATATGTGCAATTTAATGAAAGTAGTGGAAACTAATAGTACATTATTTTCAATATTCAATGATGATGATCTAATTACGGTATATTCAAATTTCATAATTTAATTTTAACCTATCAAATGCTTTTAATTAAAAAGTTTTAAAAAGTCTGAAACAGCGTAAAATGAATGAATCAATTGATTAATTAATTAATTAATACATTCCATATATTAATTTATAGGCCGTTTTTTTTATGGCAGTTTTTTAGGCGGTTTTTTTTCCATATATTAGGTATAATACATACATATCATACATAATTAATACATTCCATAATTGTCATTAATATGCTTTTGTTTTTTTCTTGCAAAAAGTTTAAAAAAGTTTGCAACATTATAAAATGAATGAACCAATTGATTAATTAATTAACTAATTAATGCATTTATTTATTATGATTAATACGTTTTTCTTCGTTTTCTTTTTTGCAAAATTTTGATTTTGGATTCGAAACATTTATAGATTTTGCATAATGTGCAAGATATATATGCCGAAGAACCGATAATGTTGGAATTTAATTTGCCAAGAAGTGGATTAGTTGTTGTGGGTGATTTACATGGTGACCTTTATTGCTTATTAAATATATTACTCAAAAATGGTTTTCCACCAAATACAAAATATTTATTTTTAGGTTTGTTTAAATTTTTAAAATTTCCTTTTGTTGAAATATTCAAATTTTATGCAAATTTTTATGCAACAAATCTGACAGAAAAAATATTTGGAAAAAAATATATTCTTTAATATTTTAGGCATTTTTATCTTTTACTGTATGCAAATTAAATTAAATACGTAATTAGATGCCTAATTAATAAGAGTATTAATTGGTCCTAATATAAACCATTATCAACAAAATATTATAATTTTTGAGATTTATTTCTAAGTTTTAAAATATGTAAATTTTTAGCAAATTTTAGGTGATTATGTTGATCGTGGTTTATATCAGGTACAATTAATACTATTTATATTTTTAATGAAATTACGATGGCCAAATTATATTACAACACTAAAAGGCAATCATGAAGATTATCAATGCGGCAAAGAATATGAATTTTATAGTGAAGTTAGTAATAATTATAAAATTTAAATGAGTAATGAAGAAATTAATCCTTTTTCAATTAGATGTTATTTGTTATCTAATTCAATCAATAATTTATATCTTTTATTATTGATAAAATTTCTAGTGCTTACAAACGTTTAAACAAGGTCATCGATGGTATACTCTTATTAATTATGTATTTGATCATATGCCTGTTTGCGCAATTATCTCAAGTTAGTTTAAAATAATTATCAAACAAATTATCCGAATTATTTCAATCAGAATTCTAATGAATTAAAGTAATTTAATTGTTTTAGCTTTTGATAATTTTAATAAAATAATTTAATTAGTTTAATTCGATAATATTTGTCATTTTCGAAGATTATGAATTATATTGGCTTTTGTACGATATATAATCATTTAATTTTATTGAGATAATGCATCAAAATAAAAATAGTATTAGAAATGCTAATTTAATTTCAATAATTTTAGTTATTATTATTTATTATAATTAATCAATAATCGAGACATAACAGATCAATAAATAATAGTAATAATTGTTTCCACCTTTTCAGATTACTTCTTTGTTTGTCATGGCGGAATTTCACAATGGATGACATGTCGAAGTAATTTACGAAATATTCCAAAACCAACTTATACTAGCAATATGCATTTTGTTGAAGGTGTAATTCTTGCCGATCTTCTTTGGGCTGATCCAATTCCTAAGCAACGAAGGTACGCAAAATAGTTAAATTTCATTATTAATACCTAATGGTAATGTAAAATAATTAAATTTCATTATTAATATCTAATGGTAATAATTAAATGGTAATTAAATATATGATATTAAAAGATTTAATGAGTTAAAAATTTTAGATGGTTTGCTTTAAGTCGACGAAATTGTGGTTATTCATTCAATCAGGATGCTTTAAATATTGTTCTTAGTATGCTAAAAGTTAAAACTTTAATTCGTGCTCATGAATATTTTCCTGGTGGTACTGCTCGAAATTTTGGCAATGATACGTGTTATACGGTACACAGTACTACCGATCCACAAGAAATGTACGATCCATATAGTAAGTTCCATCATTTTTAGGCTAAATAACATTCCAAACAACTTTTCCAGGAATTTTTCAGCAAAATTCTCATAGCAAAAATAAATTATGCTAAAAATTTTATATAATAATAAATTGATAATTTCAATTAGAAAAGCCAAATATTACTATGGTATCATCTTTCAGAAAATAGCTTACAGTATTCCGACAGTAATAATAATAGCATACTTGAATATTGCAATATTCTTAACGGTAAACATTTAAGGTGGAACATTAAAATTGGAAGAAATAGATGGTAAATTTGAAGTAATTGAAAATAATGATTTAATACCACGAAATGCTGAAGCAAATCAATTAGCTCGTATGATGCAAGTAGAATTACACGATGCATTCCTTCCAACAGTCATCTCATATGATCGTACAAAATGTCATTGGTGTGAACAACCATATCCACTTTTTGTAACACGTCGTAAACGTTGTTTTGTATATTCCGATATAGTGGATTATATGATGAAGAATGGAAAATTAGTATTATTCATTGATAAATTAATTATGAAATTGATTTGGAGAGGAATATTCTGGCGAAGTGTTTCAGGTTAACATAGTAAAAACAAAATCATCTTTTAACAATTATTTTCGAGATAACATTAATTTTATAATCATTACATTATCAATTATAATATCATTAAAATATTAAAATCAAATTTACAATTGGTGAACGAAAAATTTCAAAGAACTTTCTTAAATTAAAATGAAATATCTTCTAGTAGTATTAATAATTTTTTAATTGGTAAATATTTTGCTAATTTTAGTACTGCGAATTAATTGATAAATTATTTATTAAAATTAAAATATAAATTTCACTTTTTTTAGCAATGAGACGAGCGATCGAATTATTTCCTGCAACAAATGATATTATCTTTGGAAGACCATCAGATGATGATATTCCAAGAACTTTCCGTATTTACGTATTGGACGAAGAATTTGAACTAATGAAGAAGGTTACTTAATTTAATTCGAAAGCAAAAATAGAATTGCTATTTTATCTTTAAATCATTTTTATCGTTGACATAAACAGATATATATATATTTTAATTATTTACATAGTTAAAATTATTTAATTAATTCAATATTACAATGATAAAAAATTATTTATCAGTATTTTGTTTCTTTGTAAATTTCAATTCATATTAACAAAGAAACAGTATTTAATCGATAAATTATTGTAAGCATATTAGTAGTTTGCGCATTTACATATCAACTTGATCACATATATGATAAATATTCTAATTTCAATTTTAAAAATTACTAAAATTTAATTATTTCAATAAATACAAATATGCTAATCAGACAACTTATTTGTATTTCAGGTATACAAATCAAATGGAAAAAACATTGATAATGTAGAAAAACCAAATTTCCGGAATATTTCTGATGCTGATAAAGAGCTTCAAAGACCTGCATCACGATTTGAAAAATTCAAAAAACGAATTAAACTTGCAATCGTATGTATCGGATATACTGGATATACGATTACATAATTTATGTTCCGCTTTTTTTTTCTATTATATCAAAATAATTTCAGGGATTAGAGCCACAAAAATTGGATTTTGAAAATATGATGACGAAGCCAACTGCTTTACCGTTATTTTTATTTGATATGGTTGATGATATTGATGATATCGGTGAACGTACGCTTAATAATGCAAAAAGCAGCGAAGACAATGAAATGGATGAAATTGAAAAAGAATCGGGTAAAACTGCCCGATCCGTGCAATCTGATTATTTGCTATCATTTGATTCCACCTCTTTTCAACGTAAACGAGAACCATTGCTTTATGGCAGTCCAAATAATTTAAAAATTTTTGACATACATCGCTTCAGAAATCATCAATAATAAGAGGAAGAAAAGAGCGAGAAAATGATGATGATAATTATTGAATGAAAAGTTATAACAAGAAGTTATATTTTATCAAATTTGGAAAGTTAAGAAATTAAATTAGTATCCGAAAACTTAATACTGAATTAATATAATAAATATTTGAAAATACCGCTTTCTTTTTCATCAACATTGTAGACATAACACAACCAACAATCAAATCAGTACTTATCTCTATATCAATTAATACTGAATTAATATAATTAATTATACATAAATCGAAATCATCGTTAGATCTTAACTTAATTTCAAAATATTCAAAGAATTTAATTCCATGTAATTATCTATTAATTAAGCTATATACTTGAAGACACACAACCAACAATCAAATCACTATCATTTTTTACTTATCTCTTTATCAATTGTATCAATTTATTAATTGTTGAAAAAAAATTTTATCTCTTTATCAATTGTTGAAAAGTAATTTTATTAAAATCGAAATATCGTTAGAACTTAATCTAATTTCAAAATATTCAAGGAATTTAATTCCGTTGAAAATTAATTTTATAAAAATCGAAATGATCGTTAGATGTTAACTTAATTTCGAAATATTCAAGAAATTTAATTCTAGATAATTATCTAATAATTAAGCTATATTTTAATTAGTTAATTAATAGCATCATTTCTCATCAGATTTCAATATTTCCTGATAATGAACATTTTATCTTACAACTTTCATACGTATATTCGGAGTATATTTTGGTGTAATATGAAATCGATTAGATTAGACAAATTTAAAAGTAGCCTGAAAGTTAAAAAAAGTATTACTCATTAGACTTGCCATTTTTTTCTTCATTTAATAAAACAAACAAAAAAATGGTGAAAATTATAAAAATATTTCTCTCTCTCTCTCTCTCTCTCTGTCTCTCTTAAAAAAACGAAAAGACTTTGAAGTATTTTATCATTCCTTATTTATTCTGCTAGCCATTTTATCATTTTTTGATACTATTTTCAAAAAATGAATTTCAAATCTTTAATCGTTTTGAAAGAAATGAATGATAGAAATTCTTTACGAAAAGAATTTAAATTACCAAAAATGGAAAGAATTTAGAAATTTCAAAAATGAAAAGAATTTTATTAGAAATGCTACCTGTATCATGTGATTAATTAAAATTATGAAAAACAAAAAGAAATTTTATCAAATGTTATTTGAATTACAGAAATGATTTATTTTGCAAAAATATTTCATTGATATTAAGTGAATTGATTGAACGTTGAATTTTTAGCAAAATTTTCTTCCAAAGACATAATTAATAAAAATTATGAATTAATCAATTGTGATCTTCGGGATATTCCTCGTACATCTTTATCATTGAATGATGGCAAATCACGAAGACCCTATAAAAAAAGGCCATAATTATTAAAAATTATGAATCAATCAATGGTGATCTTCGTGATATCCCCCCCCCCCCGCACATCTTTATCATTGAATGGTGGCAAATCACGAAGACCCGATAAGAAAGGCCATAATAAAAACTATGAATCAATCAATTGTGATCTTCGTGATATC